TTTTGCTAAAGTTTTTCTGGTCATATCTTGGTTTGGATGAAGCTCATCCTCTTAATAGATTCCTCAGGAAGCAATCATGGATGCAGAATTCTCTGGTAAGTTCTTGTAAGTTGAGAACTTTTTTTGTAGCTATGGTAGGCACAGTCTGTACCCATTGAACAATTCTTCTTTTCTCTCTCCTTCCAACCCCTGGCAACTACCGTTCTACTTTCTAAGAGTTTGACTACTTTAGATACCTCATATAAGTGGAATCATGCAATATTTGTCTTTTTGTGATTGGCTTATTTCACTTAGCATAGTGTCTTCAAGGTTCATCCATGTTGTAGCATGTGATACAATTTCCTTCTTTTTTAAGGCGGAGCAATATTCTATTATATGTTTATACCACATTTTCTTTATCCATTCATTTGTTGATAAATGTTTAGGTTGTTTTCATCTCTTGGCTTTTATAAATAATGCTGCATTGAACATAGGTATGCAAATATCTCTTCCAGATCCTGATGTCTTTTGAATATATACCCAGAAATGGAATTGCTGGATCATATTGTAGTTCTATTTTTAATGTTTTGAGGAGCCTCCATACTGTTTTCATTATGACTGCACAATTTTATATTCCCACCAACAGTGCACAAGGGTTCAAATTTCTCTACCTCCTCACCAACACTTGCTATTTTCTGAGTTTTTTTGATAGTGGACATCTTAATGGGTGTGATATCTTATTGTGGTTTTGATTTGCATTTCTCTGATGATTAGTGATGTTGACTATCTTTTCATATGCTTGTTGGCCACGTATATGTCTTCTTTGGAGAAATGTCTATTCAAGTCCTTTGCTCATTTTAAAATCAGATTATTTGTTTTGTTGTTGTTGAGTTCAGTCTAATTCTTTTGCCTTATAACTTATTTGATTTTTGTGTGTGTGTGACTGTTGAGGATTTTATCTTTATTGTTGAAATTAAATAGACTTATTACTCAGATGTGTCTTGGGCTTAATAGTTCTGGGTTAATTTTCCCAGGTACCTAGGGGGTCCTTTCAATGTGTAGATTCAGGTCTTTTTCTATTTCTGGAAGTTTCCAGGATTATAGTTCTAAATGTTAGTTCTGGTCCACTGGTCTGTTTTTCTTTTTCAGGGACTCTAACTCTATGAATATTATTCCTTCTTGGCCTGTCTCCCATTTCTACTACTTTCTCTCTGACCCTTCTTATTTCTTTATGTCATTTCCATTCTCTTGGTTGTTTTCCTACCTTGTCCCTTACTAAATATGTATTTGAGTCTATTATCTCTTGGTATCTTGTAATTTTTTTTTTCATTTTTGAGGTGATTTTGTCTTTTTCCTCCATTTCTTTTCTGAGTTCAGGCGGCTAGCTTTTTTATTTCTCCCTGGGGTTTTTTTTTTTTTTTTTCCTTTGACATTTTTTGTTCTTGTCTTTGAATTTCTGATTCATAGGGTTTTTTTGATACCTTCAAATGCTTGAGCGTGTTTAACTCTTTTTGGTGTATGGCCTTACAGTTTGCTTCTGCTTCATAGTTATTTTTCTGGGTAAAATTGACCTTGGTTGATAGGTATGGAATTTTGTTTACTAGTTTTTACTATTAAGTCTGTTTGGATTTTTTTATTTTTCTCTTGTTGATTTTTTCAGTATTGGAGTGTTTTACAGATAGTGGTGCTCTCTCTTTCAGTATAGCAATGTCCAGATATTTTAGTAAATGTTTTATGTTTGTTTTGCAGTGATGGGGGGGTGGTGCGGGTTGTGAGTCCTCCAATTCTGTAGTTCTCTTTTGTCTTGCAGGACTCTTAAGTTTTCACCCCTTGCTCCTTTTCCCCCTGACCACTGAATCACTAAAGGACAATCTTCCTCTTTTGTTTTTGTCTCCCACAAAAGCTCCTTCAAATTGCTTGGCTTTAAAGTCCCTTCAATGCAGTCAGTGCTCTGATCTACCTGAGTCCTTTTCGTAGACTTTTCAGACTTAGAATGGCCTTCTTCTTCCTCATCATGTTTTTATATCGAGCTTTTGTACCATCACTAGCTTCCCTTTCTATCTTCTCTGAGATTTTTCTCAGTCAGCCCTGCAGAGGCAGGAGCATGAGACTGCCCACTGGGATTGAGTGATTGCCCCTTTTTATTCCCAGTTATTTTGAAGTTTGGACATTCTCTGTCTTCAAGTTATGAGGGCTGAGGACATGGTTTCTATGTAGATTCATTTCCCTTCTTGTTGTTCTATGTTGTTTTGGAGGAAATATTGGGAGATGGGAGCTGTGGTTCACCATTGTCTTTAATTATCTGTAAGTCCTGTTGATTCTGGTTTATTTTCTAAATGCAGATATGATCATGTTCTCAAATACACACATATCTGTGTGAAAATTCTAACAAAGACAAAAGAAACATGTTTGAGTCATTATTAGGGTTAGAGGAGGTCATGAGGTGGGACTCCCTTGATGGGATTAGTGCCCTAATGAGAAGAGACACCAGAGAGCTCCCACTCTCTGTACACACTCACAAAGAAGTCATGTGAGCACATAGGAAAATGGTGGCTGCCTACAAGCCAAGAGCTTCAGAATGAAACCTACTTTGCTGGAACCTTGATCTTGGATTTCCTAGCCTCCAGAACTGTGAAAAATAAATTTCTGTGTTTAAGCCACCCAGTCTATGGTATTACGTGGTATAATGGCAGCCCGAACAGATGAATACATACACACATATATGTATATATATTCACAAATATACTCACACTCTTATATCACTTATCACAATTTTGTTTATAATAGTGAAAAATTGGATAGATGAATATATCTCTTCATGGACTGGGTAAATAAATTATGACAGAAACATATATTGGAGTACTATCCAGTCACTAAACACAATATATATTTTTATTTATTGATGTGAAAAAATATACACAATATATTAAGTGAAAAAAGCAGTTTATAAAACAGCTCACAAAGTGTGATCCCTTTTTATTAAAAAAATAAATTTTAAAAGGAAATATATCCAAAGTGTTAAGAATAGATTCTACTGGCTTTAGGATTACATGTAGTTTTTATTTTTTTTATATATTTATGTGTTGTCTATTTTTCACAAATGACCATTATTTTTATAATACACAAATATTTTAATTTGTAAAAAGTTTTCAGACATTGAATAGAAAATTTGTATATAGGAATTAGTTTTTCTGAATTTAGTTGTGCAAGAAATAAAGTTCAGGTTTAAAGGCACAGGGCCGCCCTTAAATAGGTTTGTCAGATTCTTATTTGCTAACTCTGGCAACCCTATCTTAAAGCAAAGAGCGTTTGCTTTATATATTTGAGATTCTGAAAGTGTGTGTGGTGGAAACCCTAGTCTTTTTTAATGTGCAGGAGAGGGCACTAAGACTCACAAAGGTTGATGACCTCCTTAAAGTCATCCAGCAACTCAAGTAGCTGTCAGGACCACAGCTCAGTCTTGATGTTTCTTGCCATCCTGTCTTGCCTGCCAACCATCTGTTTTTTAGCCTGCTAAATGATGGCTAAGTTCAGTAAAAGTAATTACAAGAGTTGTGCCTAAGCCGTGTTGTTACTGTGTCTTCAGCCCAGTTCTAAAATTTCTATTACAGAAAAATACTATACAGTGTTGGTTGAATGTACATATGGTATTACCTGCCCAAATTGCTTTATCTAGTTGTGCTGGTAAAATCCTATAATTTTGATTGCAAAGATGACCTAGGCACATTTAAATATTTTTGTAAATATTAAAATACATTTAACATTTAATAATTTCTAGCTTAAAAGCCTTTCCTTACTGGCATTGTTTTTTAGCTGGAAGCAAAAGAAATAAACTGTTCCACTTGGGAAATATATGTATATCTACCCTGCTGAAGCCCTGTGGGCTGTACTCCATGATGATCTTTTGGAGCATTTGTTGAACATTTAGTTGACCTTCAGGTCTACTAACAGGCAACACTACTGAAATGTATCCCCCAGACAGCTACTTATGCTTTATGGAACTGATTAGCATAAAGGTTAAGAGTGCAGTCTCTGGAGTGAGCCTGCTGGGGCTTGACATCTCTAGTCCACATGCTCTCTGTGTGTCACTTAATCTCTCAGTATTTCAGTTTTGTTTTTTTATTATGCTGTGAAATGAGCATAATATTGATGCCACTTCACAAGATTGTTGCTGCAGTTGCATTATGATAACGTAGGTCAAACACTTATAACAATGCCTGACTTATAATAATAAATGCTAGCACATATACCACTTACTGTTATTATTCTAGTCAACTTATTTTATAGTATCATAAGCAAAAGTAATTTGAGAAGGCAGTATGTGAGATATTTGAAAAAGACTTTCATCAATATCAGTGTCCATTAAATGTTCTATTGAGTAGATAATGGTCGCTCTCTGGCTAGCATGGTCCAGATTTTCTTTGGACATTCAAATGTGCAGTGTGCCAAAAAAAAAAGGTCTGTTATGCTGGAGTATGGAATCTGCCTTATATTCCTTTAACATCTCAGAAATGTAAAGAAACAGGGTTGTAGACCATAATTTTCAGCATTGGAAATTGTCCATAATATACTTTTTTTTTCCCCCAAGGTTGACTTATTCCGTAGTTAGTGGTCAGGCTCTCCAAAAAAGCATGTTAATATACAATAATGAGCTGTAATCACATACAAACACTGAAGTTGAAAGAATTTTCTAATATATTAATGTTTTTTAATTGGAAATTATATTTTCTGCCCCTTTTCAAGATTATTGACCTTTCTATTCAGAAGATATATGAAAGATGCCATCTTAATCACTAAATAAACTCACATATAAACAATCATTATTCCAAGTGGGCATGTTACTCTGGGAACAAATTTTTAGAATATAAATTCCTCAGGACAGTAAACTAAATTAAATGCTCCATATTTTTTTATTTAGATATAATTGACATATTAGTTTCAGATGTGCAACATAATGGTTCGATATTTGTGTGTATTGTGAAATGATCACCATAGTAAGTCTAGTTAACATTTATCACCATACATAGTTACAAAAATTTTTTTTCCTGTGATGAAAACTTTTAAGATCTACTCTCTGAGTAACTTTCAGATATACCACATGATATTATTAACTATAGTCCCTATGTTGTACATTACACCCCCATGACTTATTTCATAGCTGGGAGTTTGTACATTTTAACCCTCTTCACCCACTTCACCACCCCTCCCCATAATATACTTGTAACGCTGAATATAACTGAACCAAGTCTGTACTTTGCAGCATTTAGAACTGTCTTCTAGGCCTTAAATCTTAAACTCTTCAGGGCTGATTTCATGATAAATTGTCTTTTAAAGGGTTCCCTAATGTCATACTTTGTTTCAAGGCCAGAGAGTTACTGAAATACACTGTTCTTTTTTAAAGTGAATGGGTTGGACTACATGTACTTTTAGCCATGCTTTTACCTATGATTCTGTAAATTTTGATTTAATAATGAAAATAATGAGAAGGTAAATTAATGAAAAGGCAAATTTAAGCACCTAGCATTCAATTTAGAAATGTGTTTAATTTATTAGTAGTAGTAGTAGTTCTTTAATAAAATAGCTTTGTATCATACTCATTTGAAGATTCTGTTGAATTTTTAACCATTTTTTTTATAACCTTCCCCTAAGGTATTCCCATCTGTCAGCAGCACTTAATTTGGAATAACATGGAACTTGAAGATGAATATTGCTTGAATGATTACAAGTGAGTGTAATTGCATATTAGCTGTTTTATAGATGCTCAGTATTATGACTCCGTACACCAGTGTTTTTCTTCTGAATCCTTGGTTCATGTCTCTTCTTCTTCTGAATAGTTCTCATCCCTAGATTTCAGTGTAGAACTTGAACTTTAAGATGTGTTGGCTCAGTACCCCATACTATCTCATTTCTGTCCTCCGATTCTTTGTTTTACCTTTCCATTATTCACAGCAAGCTATTTACCCCCGCCTTTTTAGATCTTCCTCTTCTGATCTTGCCTTCTCTACTCTTTTTTTTGGAATATTGACCCATTCCCACGTGGCTATATTCCTTTTCTTTCCATTTCACAGTAGTTTTGGGTGAGACAGTATTGTTCTTCACCAAGTCTTTCATTTTTCATCAGCCTTCCTTCTGTTACTAAGTGACGCTGTGAGCAGTGATTGCAGATATACTGTCTGACCTTTTGTATTTCTCCCTCCCTTCTCTCACTTCTTCACTCTGAAAGAGCAAAAGGGCCAGAGGCCATGTGGAATAGCCGGAAGAGCACTGGGAGTCGGGAGACCTTGTAGATTTGCTATTTTTCTCTTTTATTAAATAGATCTGCTATTTTCTAACACTGGGTCTTGGACAAGCTTCTGTTCTTAGGGCCTCTTGTTCCTTACATGTGAAATGAAAAGACTAAACCACATGATCACAGAGGCCCTTTACAGTACTTTTATTCTGAGATTTCATGTCATATTAAGGTTTATGAGAACTTGTTTACTTTTTTGTTATTTATACAAGTAAATAAGTTAACATTTTATGTTTATGCACATTGCTGTATCTTTTTTTATATTTCAGAGGGTAGGCACTATGCTTGATAAACCAGCACATAATTATGTGTATATTTAACACTGAATGCATGATTGATGCATTGTGGTTTATCGATGATTGATGGTTTATTTTTGTGTTAACTATCCACAGCATTTCAGAAGGTTGTACCTTGAAGCTGGTATTGGCTATGCGTGGTGGACCTATAAATACTAGAAGAGGTAGGCATATGTTAAAATTATGTATATTAAAGTAATTTGACAAAAATAATCTTCAAGCCAGTTGGTGTTTTTATAGCCTCAAGTTTTAGTCAGTTTCTCTTTCTGCTATAAGGTCTTAGAAGAACCACATTTGTTTATCTAGGCATTGTTCTTTAAAGCCTGAATGCACAGAGGTAGGAACTCATATTCCAGAAAATCTTATAATTCCTGGTTCAATTCAGGGAGATTTAAAAATAAACCTCACCAGTATAGGGAATGAAAATGGGATGGCATAGTATTAATATTATGTTGTTATCATTTTGTGTAGGTTCATACCAGTTTTGTTGCCTTTTTTATCCACTGAGTCTTCGACCTTTAATGATTGTTATAGAAAATTCCAAAGATGCCTGTTAGCCTGGTTTGTGATGCATTTGAGTTTCATGGATATTATCATGGCCCTGTTGAATGCTTTTTCAGAATGTAAATGGTCTCTGGGAGTCCCTTCATTCATTCAACAAATACATTTTGAGCAACTACTAGACGTTCAGTGCAGTGTTCCGTGGGAGAAAAAGTCCCTGCTTCATGATAGTGCCCACACTGAACGTGTGGAGAATCGACATCATTTCAGTCTTAAGTGCTGTGGAGGAAATAGGGTAGCGTGATAGAGTCTGTGGAGGTAGGGTACTAGGAGGACAATTGTGGAAGGGCCCACAGAGAAGATGATGTGAGCAGAGACTTGATTAGCAAGAAATTTCTAAGGATGGAAAGAACTGGAATTGTTCACATTGGTCCCTGATTCAGGTATGTCACATGAATCCCCACCAAGTAGAGGCATCTTGAGACTGCTCAGAGCAGTCCTGCTCTGTGGGCCTCATTTTGGAAAAGGCCTTCATATTTATTTGATCCTTCACTAACCAGAAAACTGAAGATTAATTCCACTGCTGGCTTACTTCTTCCACAAGTCAAATTTTATCTCTATCCTTCATAATTTTGGTTAGAAAATAGGGTTGTTAACTGTCTTTTTCCTAGCTACTTGAAGAGGATTTTGTGAGATATGTTACTTGGCTGTTGAACTGTTTTGGATAGGTTAAAAAAAACAAAGATAATGTAAGAGCTGATTAACTAGCGCTCCTAATATCAGGGACTTGCTGTTAATTGGGCTTGTGAAATTGTCCTATATGACATAAGGTGATGTTTATAGTACCGATTCTAAGGGTAGTGCAAGAACCCTCAAGTGTTTACAGAGCCATTATAGGAAGATAGAATGTTATAGTGTTTAATGACGTGTGAATTCCATTGTATTATATTTTTGAAAGTTGGTTATTTTTTGTATTGTATTATCTTTAAACCAGGGTGTTTAATCAGAACATCTACTTTTCTTACTAGGACCACAATTATTTTATATTTATGAGGAGGAGTGTAAGTGCTACAGCTTCTGAGTTAAAAATATATGTTGTTGGGGGCCGGCCCGGTGGCGCAAGCGGTTAAGTGCGCACGCTCCCCTGCGGCGGCCTGGGGTTCGCCAGTTCCCATCCCGGGCGCACACCGACGCACCACTTGTCAAGCCATGCTGTGGTGGCGTCCCATACAAAGTAGAGGAAGATGGGCATGGATGTTAGCCCAGGGCCAGTCTTCCTCAGCAAAAAGAGGAGGATTGGCCGATGTTATCTCAGGGCTGATCTTCCTCACCAAATATATTATATATGTTGTTGGATTTTTTTTACTTTTTTTAAAAAATGAAAATGCAGGGCATCACTACCCTTTGGTGTACTTTGTACCACTGTTTTTCTCTACGACTTTCTGTGCTCTGTTGGTAAATTGAAAAATCAGTACCTAGAACTTGCCTATTTTTTTGATATTTTAAATTGTTCTTAATAATTTTGCCTTTATTAAATCAACTTTTTTAAAATTAAAAGCTTGCTGTTGTCTACCTTACATCATTGAAAACTTTGTGGAAAAGAAAAACTGTACCCAGATCTAGAACTTTTCCATGGTGTGTATGAGAAACCGTATTTTTTTAGCTATTTAGTCTTACTTGAAAATTATGATTTAGAAAGTACCTTTATCATGTGAGTTCCAGTAATATTTAGCTTTTACAATTATTTATGAATGAACCATTATCAAAACAGCATAGAAAATACTTTCTAAAACTAAACTTTATCCCAAACTATATATACAGTGTTTTATACCTGAAGAAATCTAAATGATTTTTCTGTTATGAAAAAGTGTGTGCATACATACACATATGTGCTTATATGTTTGCAATCCCAATGGCTCCCTAAGTAAAGCACACTGCGCTGGTTTAAGCAAGGCTGTCATGTGGCTTTAGTAATGGCAGTAGCATAGTTTTTGTTTCTTATTAATGTAAGGTGGAAAGTGTAGCATTAACTTAAAAATGACAAGAACTTGTTTTAAAAATATCTTTTAATATTTACACATTTTGTGCCTATGAAAGAGTCTATCAAAACATCCAAATATTTTTATAAAATAAGCTAAATCTTATATTCTAAAGTTTTTGTGTTTTAGTAGTGGTGGTATTAAATTTAGGATATGGGAACATCTTTCTTGTTTTTACCTTGTTACTTTGAGAGTCTAATATTTCTTATTGCTGTAACTTTTTTTTTTATAATTTTATTTATTTATTTTTCCCCCAAAGCCCCAGTAGATAGTTGTATGTCATAGCTGCACATCCTTCTAGTTGCTGTATGTGGGACACGGCCTCAGCATGGCCGGGGAAGCAGTGCTTTGGTGCGTGCCCGGGATCCGAACCCTGGCCGCCAGCAGCGGAGCGCACACACTTAACCGCTAAGCCACGGGGCCAGCCCTTTTTGCTGTAACTTTTTAAAGGGTAGTACAGCACTGTGATTCTGTTAATATATAAGCTACTTGAAGGAAAGTTATGGAGTTTGAGGAATTGTTGCTTCTTTTAGGAAAGAGCAAATGTTTCTGCAGCTTGACATGAGAATGTCTTTGGGAGCAAACTTTTTTTTCCCTCGTAACCATTGCTTAGACTCCCAAGTCTGGGGTTCAGGGGCTTTTAGAACATTCACCCTGTGAGCTAGCAATCTCTTGAGGCCCATTTCCACCACAGGAGCAGAATCTGTGGCTGCAGTGGACGAGAGTGGGTTGTAGTGATAGCTTCAATATTATTCAAACCTAAGGACAACTCCAGGCTTCTAGAGCCCACCAGTATTGGGGGCTTTGCCCTCGTTTTTGTTCTCTGACTGGAGGGATACACACCAGGACAGTTGGGGTCCTGGGAGGGTGCTTTCAAGAAACAACATACTGACCATGACACACATTGCAGTTTTAGTACACTAAGTGGCCCTCTTGTGTTCTGAGTTATTGTGTACTTTTAACTACCTAACTTCACATGACGAAGAATCAGCCTTTATATAAAATCAGAAAGAAAAAAGGAATTCACTGGCTTCTAATTTCTAACATATGTCTCCCAATTATGTGTGTGTGTGTGTGT